TTTTTGAGACAGTATCTCACTCTGCCACCCAGGCTTGGAGTGCAGTGCTGTGATCACTGATCACCGCAACCTCAACCGCCCAGGGCTCAGGTGACTGCCACTTCAGCCTCCCAAGTAACTGGGACGACGTGTGTGCACACCCAGTCTGGCTAATTTTTGTATTTTTTGTAGAGACAGGGTTTTGCTATGGTGCAAGGTTGAAACAGGGTGGTCTCGAACTCCCGGGCTCAAGTGATCTGCCTATCTTGGCTTCCCAAAGTGCTGGGATTATAGGTATAAACCACCATACCCAGCCCCATATTTTATTTTTAAATTTTCAATCACGATAAACGAACGAAGTAAAGATTATACAACAACATTCTTTAATCACAATATAGGAAAACTAACAATAAAAAACCCAAACAACAAAAGTCTTTACCTCTTAGAAATTAAGATATTCTTTTCTAAACAACTTGGTTCAACTAAAAAATATAAATAAAAAATGTAGAACATTGAAAAATAATCGTAACAAAAACTTTGTGTAATAGAAACTATAAGAAATAGCTAATACAGCCTTAAATAAACAACAGAATGAAACAAAATCAAATTAAACATTCAACTCAAGAAGTTTGAAAAAGACAACAAAATCAATGAAAAGAAAGCACACAAAAATTCACAAAGATATCTGATGAAATTAATGAGTTGGAAAACAGAAACAGCAACTGGTAAAATCAAAAGTTTGTCCTTTCATATAAATAATAACTGAGATAAACTGAAAGCTAATGGAAACAGGAAAAAGTGAGAAAGTATACATATAAAAATTAGAAACAAGGGGCAAATCGGCACAAAAACAAAGTAAATTAAAAGGCAAGAGAGTACTTTGCTTAAGTCTCTGCAAACAAATTGAAAAATTTAATGAAGAAAGACAAATTTCTAGGAAAATGTAATTTACTTATTAGAACCCCAGAAAAGGTTGAAACTATTAAATGACCAGTTTTTATGGAACACAGAAAGTTATCAAAGAGCTTTCCCTTGGAAAAACATCCAGAGAAATCTACCTTGCCCTTAAAATGCAGGTAATTCCACTGCAATTTAAACTGTTCCAGCTCATAGAAAAGCAACAATCACAAGCATCACAAATTCTGGCAAATAATGCACAAAAACAAAACTTTGGATCAACTTCACTTACAGATGTTGAGGGAAAATCCTAAGTTAAATATCAGCCAGAAGAGTTCCACAGCACATTAAAATAATGAGATAACATGATCAAAGGGAGTTTATTCCAGGCAGGCAAAAGAGTGGTTCAATAGGAGGAGAAAAGTCATATGACCATCTCCACCTAAGCTGAAAAGGCATTTGAAAAAAATCAACATTCATTCTTGATAAAGACATCCAAAAATGGAAAATAAAATAGAAACTCTAGAAATAGATCTAAGTATACAGATGTCCATAGTGTATGCTAAAGGCGACATCTCTAGTCAGAGATGAATAATAAATGGTGTTGAGGCCATCACTGAAGCAGTGGCATCTGAGTCTTTATTTATAACTATTATTTACATTTTATGTATATGTTTTATACATATGTATGACCCATTCAAAATAAAATAATATACAATGGTGACAATTCTGCTTTAACAGGCTAAAGGGCTTTTTGGCCATTACAAAGCTTCCTTTATTTATGAATAAATGGGCTTGTTATCCAATACACAAGCAACTCCTACAGTCAGTAAGAAACATACAGGAAATCCAATGGGAAAATAAGCAAGACACACAAAAAGGCAATTCATAGAAGGCTATTAAGTCTATAAAGAAATCTTTGTCCTCACCATTAATCAGATAAATTAGAACCACACAGGAATTCTGGCTTATCTGCCTGGCAAAAACTAGGAAGGTGAAAAACAGCAAGTGCTGATGAAGGATGTGAAGAAACGAGTTTCAAGAGGGCAGGGACATTGTCAGCATGCTCTTCCTTGAATCCCCAGGAGAACTGATTTTTGCACTTGTGGATGCCAGTGTGTCCACACCTCCCTGGGTCTGTCTTCTTGGTTGGTCGCCCTCTGAACTGATTCCGGGCTTGGGCATGACTTGTTTGGCTGCTGGGAAAACAACAAATATAATTCAATTAGAGATTTGTAATGTTTGTGCTTTAAGGCTTGTCCTCTCATGCTGCTCTTTGGACCCTGAGACTGCCATATGAAGAAGCCCAGACAAGCCTCCTGGACGATGAGAGACCCCATGGTGCAGAGACGAGCTGTTTCAGCTGAGGCCCCAGTGATATGATGGAGCCAGCTCCCCACTGACCTGGAGGCTGATGTGTGGGAGAGAGCGCCCAGCTGACTAAGATAAAAAGTGCTTAATCGTATTTTGCTGAATGAACAAATCTGTGATTTAAAGCAAAGTGGAACAGAAAAATTGCCCAGCTACAGAGATCTCAACTATTGAGGACAAAGGTTTGCAACCACTAAAAAAATTCAAAGACCATCCTATGGATTTGGAAGAGCCACTGGCTTCCACAAATGCAAGTTTGTTCATTCAGCGCACATAGTTGTCATTGGAGCAGTGGTACACGTACCATAACTCTGCGTGATGAATCAACATTGTATCAACCTGTGACCACTATGTATCAACATGTGACCATTGGGAAGGAGATTTAATAATCATTCAGATGCATAAATTCTGGTGTTTAAAGAAATGCAAATCTAGCTCATTGCTTAAGATTAGTAGGAAAATCCATAAACTGGGTTTGAAATGTTATTAGTTCTGTGACCTTAGGCTCACTAGCCTCTGAGTGTCTCACTCAGAATGGAGATAATAATACCTGCCTTCACCAGGCGTGGTGGCTCATGCCTGTAATTATCAGCACTTTGGGAGACTGAGGCGGGTGGATCACCTGAGGTCAGGAGTTTGAGACCAGCCTGGCCAACATGGTGAAACTCTGTCTCTACTAAAAATACAAAAAATTAGCTGGGCATGGTGGTGCGTGCCTGGAATCCCAGCTACTCAGGAGGCTGAGTCAAGAGAATTACTTGAACCTGGAGGCAGAGGTTGCAATGAGCCAAGATCGCGCCACTACACTTCAGCCTGGGCAATAAGAGTGAAACTACATCTCAAAAACAAAAAACAAAACAAAACCTGCCTTGACAACTCATAGCTTTGTTCTGAGAATTTTATAAGACAGTGGAGTGAGTGCGATTTGTAAAGTGAGAAGCTACACCGAATAATGGAGAGGCTGATGCACTGAAAGTTTTGCCTGATCCATTTTATGTACCTTTTACCCACTGGCACCTCATGCCTCATTCCACAACCCAGGGAATGTATGTTGGCTTTACCCTTTATTTAATTTTCCCTGAGGCCATGCCGAGCTCCTTGGGACCTAGTAGGCCTTTGAAAAGCTTCTGTTTTTATTCATTGTAACTGTCAGAGGCAGCCATGTAGAAACTAACCCTGTTACAGAATGTCTTCTAATTTGGTAAGGAGCTTAAATGACGTGAAGGGGGGAATAATGAATAGAGCAACTGGTGAGCAAAATTAAATTTCTTGCTCAGGCCCCTGGCTGGCTCTGGTGAACATTCACGTAACCGAAGTGTTCGTGCTAGGAAGGTCTCTTGTGATTAACGGAATATTGAAGAATATTTATTTCATAAAAGAGATGACATTGTAATAAATGGTCCCAGGCCTGCACTCCCTTTGGACAGAAATGCTCCGTTAGGCAGAGCCCTTGGAGAGATTCACTGTTTGGTGGTGATATATCAAAAGCTGTCTCTTTATTAAAACTCCATACTGAGGTTGTTCTATGTGCAAAATTAGTTGGTTTAACTGTTCAGTGTTTTTATCTGTGCTAGTGTTTTTATCACCAAAGCATAGGTCATGCTGTCTACCGTCTCACCCAGAGAAGGAGACCGTTTGGCAACATGACTGCTGGTTTCATCTAGCCTCAGTTTAATAATCCCAGTAACGGGAGGCAGAGGCTGTGCTTCCAAAGGCACTCCTTTGGTAATTGTTTAAACAAAGCACCCATGTTTGTTCTTGTTTTTTTCTAATTCTGTCCTCTGTGGCATGACAGAATATGTTTCCTTTCTCTCCGTGGCTCAAATGTAGGGTTTTCGGAAGAGCAGACATCCTTCGTGTTTCTATTCCTCCCTCTGACCACTGCTTTTCCCTTTCTTTTCTGCTCCCCCGATGGCAGTTGCAAATCCTAATGATCCAACCGTATTTTTGCTTCCTCAAGTTCCGCACCCTTGCCAACTCTCTCCTCAGGCTTCTCCCATGATTATTACCTAAGTTGGAAAAAGGTGGTATCTTTAGCGCCACAGTTTAAATAATATTTCCACTTACCATTTCTACAAGTTTCTCTAGGGTCTTCAAACTTTGGCCAGTGTATTTAAGATGTATATTGAATAGATTCTGGTATTTTTCAAGAAGTGATAAATGATAATTATTTACATTTTTTAATTATTAAAACTGACAATACATCAGTAGGATTCTAAGTAGACCAGCTAAAGGAGATCATATTAGCCTTTAAAGTATCTTAGCCTTGGTGGGCAGAGTCTTTGTGTCCTCCATGCTTCCTTCACCACAGTGCCTGACACATAGTAGGTGCTCAATTAATGTTGAATGAATATGTGAAAAAATCAGGCAAAAATTTCTACATATGTACTTGTATTTATGAGGACATGAACAATTCTGTAAACATCTTGAATGCAGTAGGAATTTATTGGGATGATAAGAAGGCAGCAGGACCTGGTTAGCATCTGCAGGAAGGACCTCTTGATGAGATGAGTTTAGTTCCATCACATGTAACCACTTAGGTACATTAGAGGTAGAGCTAAGAGGAATGTGATATGGTTTGAACCTGTGTCCACACCCAAATCTCATTTTGAATTATAATTCCCACATGTTGAGGGTGGAAGGTGATTGGATCATGGGGGTGGTTTCCTCCATGCTGCTCTCGTGATGGTGAGGGAATTCTCGCGAGGGCTGATGGTTTTAGAAGTGTTTGGCAGTTTCTCCTTTACTCACTTTCTCTTGCTGCCTTGTGAAGAAGGTGTCTGCTTTCCCTTCTGCCGTGATAAGTTTCCCAAGGCTTTCCAGAGGCTTTCCCAGCAATGCAGAACTGTGAGTCAATTAAACCGCTTTTTTTTTTTATAAATTACCTAGTCTTAGGTCGTATACTTTATAGCAGTGTGAAAACAGACTAATACAGACCCTGAACTGGATGTTTTTTCCTTAGGTGTGTCTGCCAATGAAGAGAAATTTTAAAAACTGTTAGAAATGAAAATGTGTGTGTGTGTTTTTAGATCCCAATTATACAATATGCCACAGGGCAGAGACTGTGCTTTGCAATGATTTCTCTGAAGAAGAGCTGGAGTCCATTTCTCTTCATTACGAACCCCTTCTCCACTCCTTTTGAGATCTCTGATTCTCTGTGGCCAATGCCTCTGTCATCTTTGCCTTATTCTACTAACATGGCTGTGTTGAATAAAACCTTCCCTCCTTGAGTGTGCTAATCATTGGAGAAATCAGTGGGAGTGTGAATAATGGAAGGAAATAGAACAGCCAGAGTGGTGGAGCACTCCCTAAATCAACGGCTCCAAATCTTCTGGATTTCTTGAACTAATAACAAATGCAAACATTTTGTACTTTGTCAAGTAATGATATTAAATTTTTTTTCAAATTAACACCTTCATTCATCATTATTTCATAAAGAATTGGAACATTTCTGGAGTTGTTAGTGCAAGACATAATTATTTTAACAAAGGCCAATTCTTTAAACAGAATAAAGTTAGCTTTATATCACTTTTTAAAAAAATTTCACCACAGCAACATTTTGGCATAGACCAGAAAGGATAGGGTAACCACTTCCACGCTGAGCTGGATGGCTGGGAGGCATAGCAGTGGCAGGAGGGCTGCCCCAGCCCTGGGTCCTGGGGCTCACAGGACATCACTTGGCTGGATCTGGCTAGTCAGGTGGTGACCAGGCTAATAGGAATTTGTACATATTTGCAGATTTGATGAAATTTACAACACTTCTCTTGGGTAATGACTTTCCAATCAGAGTTGTCATCACAATGACCCTACTAAGGGCAGGTAAAAATCAGATAAAAATTTTTCGGCCTGAAGAAATAGTTACGACTTCACAGTTCAATTGGTGGGAGAATTCTGTGGTCATCTCTGTAAGGCTGTAGTTTTGTACCAAATTTAAATCGTCCCTTTCAAAATATTCCATTATTGGTATTTTATTTTTCTGCTTGTGAGGAAGATCAAGTTTTAAGTGTAAGATTTGTGGTTTTAAACAATAGAAACCAACTTATGTTAAATGTTGAAACCAATAAATGTTAAACAATAGAAACCAACTTATGTTATTTAAATGTCCTTAGATAGATAAGGACATTTAAATAACCCTTTTTTTTGAGACAAGATCTCACTCTCTCAGGCTGGGGTGCAGTGGTATGATCTTGGCTCACTACAGCCTCAACCTCCTGGGCTTAACTGATATTCTTGCCTCAGGCTCCAGAGTAGCTGGAACTACAGGCTTGCTCCACAATGTCCAGCTAATTTTTGTATTTTGTAGAGACGGAGTTTCACCATGTTCCCAGGCTAGCATTCCCTGGGCTTAAGTGATCTGCCCACCTTGGGCTCCCAAAGTGCTGGGATTATAAGGATGAGCCACTGTGCCCAGCCAAAATAATTATTTTTAACTGACAAGAATTGTGTTACGATGTACATGATGTATTGATATATGTATACATTGTGGGATGTCTAAATCATGCTAAGTAACATATACATTTCCTCACATCATTTTTTTTTTCTGTGTGTGTAGTGAGAACACCTAAAATCTACGCTCTTAGCAATTTCAAATATATAGCACATTGCTATTAACCATAGTGACCACATTGTACAATAATCTCTTGAACTTATTTCTCTCACTTAACTGAAATTTTGTATCCTTTGACAAACATCTCCAGTACCCCACTCCTCAGGAGCTTCATAATCACCATCCTACTCTCTCCTTCTAGGAGTTTGACTATTTTCAGAGTCCACATATAAGTGAGAGCCTTGTCTTTCTGTGCACGGCTTATTCCACTTAGCGTAATATCCTCCTGGTTCATCCATGTTGTTGCCAGTGACAGGACTTTCTTCTTTTTAAGGGCTGCATAGTATTCCACTGTGTATATATACCACATTTTCTTTATCCTTTCATCCATCGATGGACAGTTTGATTCCATGTTCTGGCTATTGTGAATAATGCTGCAATGAATGTAGGGGCACAGATGTTTCTTCAACATATTGGTTTCATTTCTTGTGACTGTATACTTAGTAGTAGGATTGCTGGATAATATGGTAGATTTTCACCTTCTTGCAGCAATGCCACAGTTTTCCTCAAGTGGCTATACTTAGTGACTATTAATTTACACTCTCACCAACAGTGTGTAGGGGTTCTCTTTTCTCCACATCCTTGCTAACATTTAAACCTTTCATCTTTTTGATAACAGCCATTCTACCAGGTGTGAGCTGATATCTCACAGTGGTTTTAATTTACATAATTAGAGATGATCATTTTTTTCATATACTTCTTGGGCATCTGTATATCTTCTTTTGAGAAATGTCTATTCATGATTTTTGCCTATTGTTTTATTCATTTCTTTAAGCAACACATATTTGTTGAGAGCAGACCAAGTGCAGATATCTTTCCAGGTGCTGGAGATTTAGGACTGAATGAGACAAATTTCCTGCTCTCCTGGTACCTGCCTTTGAGTATGTGCAGAAAGATACTAACCTAAATATACATAAAGTGTGTA